CACGCACACACACTCGCACTCGTGAGTATAAACAGAATATAAAATGATATTACCTTTATTTTAACTTAACTTTAACTAAACTTCAACTTAACTTTAACTTAACTTTAACATAACTTCAACTTAACTTTAACTTAACTTTAACTTAACTTTGACTTAACTTTAACTTAACTTTAACTTAACTTTAACTTAACTTCAACTTAACTTCAACTTAACTTTAACTTAACTTTAACTTAACTTTAACTTAACTTTAACTTAACTTTAACTTAACTTTAACCTAACTTTAACTTAACTTTAACTTAAATTTAACTTAGCTTTAACTTAACTTTAACTTAACTTTAACTTAACTTTAACTTAACTTTAACATAACTTCAACTTAACTTTAACTTAACTTTAACATAACTTCAACTTAACTTTAACTTAACTTTAACTTTAACTTTAACTTAACTTTAACTTAACTTTAACTTAACTTTAACTTAACTTTAACTTAACTTTAACTTAACTTTAACTTAACTTTAACTTCACTTTGACTTAACTTTAACTTAACTTTAACTTAACTTTAACTTAACTTTAACTTAACTTTAACTTAACTTTAACTTAACTTTAACTTAACTTTAACTTAACTTTAACTTAACTTTAACTTAACTTTAACTTAACTTTAACTTAACTTTAATTTAACTTTAACTTAACTTTAACTTAACTTTAACTTAACTTTAACTTAACTTTAACTTAACTTTAACTTAACTTTAACTTAACTTTAACTTAACTTTAACTTAACTTTAACTTAACTTTAACTTAACTTTAACTTAACTTTAACTTAACTTTAACTTAACTTTAACTTAACTTTAACCTAACTTAAACTTAACTTTAACTTAACTTTAACTTAGCTTTAACTTAACTTTAACTTAACTTTAACTTAACTTTAACTTAACTTTAACTTAACTTTAACTTTAACTTAACTTTAACTTTAACTTAACTTTAACTTAACTTTAATTATACTTTAACTTTACTTTAACTTTACATTAACTTTACTTTAACTTCTGTAGGCTAGTTCATCTCTAAGCTGAAAAAGTGAATATTTATAATATAAATGCAAAATTCAATAATATAAATGAAATATTATAATATAATCCTAGAGGTGTTTCATCATCGAAGAGCTGAAAGCAAGCTTAAATAATTAAAATCCATCCTTTTTTTTTTTTTTTTTAGTAAAAAATAGTTGCAAGCGAACCAACATCAACACCGATCGTACGGAGCTCTTTCACGCACATTATCACACGCGATGCCACTAATTTCTCTAAATACGTAAATATTCCATTTTTCTGTCCACAATTCGATTTGCAAAATAAGCGATTTAGTCTGTCCAATGAGCGATAAGATCTGTCAAACGAGGTGAGACACCAACCAAGTCAATTTAAATTTAGCGTGTGTTCGTATCCTTGCTCGATCGGATGAGTAGGTGGCGGTAGTGTTTAACGTGACGCATTTCGCGCCAAATCGTATTCGGAGCTGGCAGCACCCTCTCAGATTTCAATGAAACTTTCTGGATGTGTGGACCTTGACTAAATATGCCACTTTGCATACTCAGTTTTTCCAAAATTTATCTAGACTAACATTTGAGAAGGGCCAAACTTTTTCTGCCGATTTTTTTCAAAAAAATATTATGGAAAAATGACAACTCCTACAAAAATGTGATGTATAGATAACTTTTAGAAAATTGTCCAAGTTATCGAAAAAAAATACTGGAAAAAATTTCATATGAGACCTACACTGAAAAAAATCTATTTTTAAAATTTAAAGTCGATTTAAAAAAAATGGCCATGTTTGATTTGGATGAAACTTTGCCTCAAGATAGGTAATTACGTTTACTACCAACCGTCCATACATCGCGAGATGGGCACTTTTAAGGAAAAAAAGTTTTTCTTACAAAAACTTTTTGATGTCTGAACTTTTTTTTTTTTTTTTGATTTGCCATTTTCACACAAAACTAAACCAGTGAAGCTCAAAATCATCTCAGAATCCAATGAAGCTCAATTTGCGATTCAATTTTGTCCAACCAGCACTTAAGTTCACTTTGATTAATCGAGAATTTCATTTGAAAAGGGCTCATGATGCATTTCTCGCCAAATCGTATTTGGAATTGGCAGCACCCTCTCAGAGTTCAATAAAACTATTTGGACATGTAGACCTTGTCAAAAAAATATCATTCCCTTATTCTGTTGTCTACTACTGATGCAAAATTTGATAATATGTGAGAGAAAAAAGACAAGATTTTTCATATATCATTTATTTATATATTTGCAATGTTTTAAACCTATTTTCATACATGATATTTTTTCCTTTTTCCAATCAAGTTAAATATTTTTGGTTAATCTTCTGATTTAGAATACCTTTTTGCCGCTACTTTGTCACCAGTTATAGGCACAAAACAGTGGAATTTCTGTGTGTCAGATATTGTATTTGTGCTGTTATATAGTTCTTCGAGTTCTTCTGACATTTCGATGTACTGTTCAGTGGATATGTACTCGAAACGTAGTTTTGTGATATTTTTATCTGTTTGTTCAACTGCCCAGTTATATAATTCTCGTGGAGTTGTTATGGTGTTTCCATAATCTCGAGCAAGCCAATGGCATCACAGGAACCTTTTCCATGAGACGTTGCAAAAAAATGCCATTCTGCTTCTAATCCATGCTTTGACTGAAATCTACACAGACTAGCAAAGTTTTTTTTTTTTTTGTATTGTGATGCTGCCCCATCTGACATAAAAGTAATTTTAGAAAAATTTATCGATTGTTTAATAAAATCTATTATTTTTGAGATGAACAACTGAACTGCAACTGTATCGTGAGTCATTGTCTTTCTTCAAATGGATGTATTGTTGCTTGAGAATTATTCCATTGCTAGAATTTCGCCTTCTTTTAATGATTCTTTTTTATTTCTTAGAAAAGATGACTGTTGTTTGTAAATAAAGTCATGAGTTATAAGTTTGTTAATTTTATCAATGAGATACGAAACAAATTCATCAACAGGCTTGATAAACGTTTCCAAATTACAACGATCAGTATTCAGCCACTGTTGAAACACAACATCTTGTTTGTCATTTGATTCTCTTCAATATGTTCATTGGAAGGAACACTTTTCGCAATCTAGAGATGAACTAGCCTAAGGCTAAAAATCTCTCAAATAAAGAATTAAAAAAAAAAACTTTTCGCAAGCACGGAAAAAGCAATTAGGTGTTCTAGTAGAAATATTAAAAAGCATTTTTTCTATTATTGCATCTTGTGACATAATTCTTAAACTGTTGATCATTAATTTTACATTTTCATGCTTCCCACTAGTTGACGGTTGGATATTTACTTCATTTCCAACCGATCGGCGTTTTTTCATAACTGGACTTCTATTATGAGATATCACGCTACGGCATGACTCACAAATGCTCATCGTTTCATCAATTTCGTGGTTATATCCCATAGAATGTATTTTTTCTACCATCGTTGACGATATGGCCCGTAACTTATTTCGGTTGCATCTAGGATTATTTATATTCGCACAACATTTCAATCCTTTGAGCCTTAATTTACTACTTTGGTCCATGATAATAATTTTACTACAACTTGTCTTCACAACTTTCGTTGTCAGATTGACTGCTGCTAGTATGAAATCAACCTTAGTTTTATAGTGCTCATAGATAGAATGAAGTGGTAGGTATATAATGTTAATGGTTTAGGTATAAATAACAGAAGGGCATATAGAATTATGATGCGATACGTTGACTTCCCAAATCGTTGTTGATTCGAAAGAAGATCTCAATTTAAATTTTATTCATACCTAATTCTTTATGGATAATTTGAGCTAAGAATTCTAAGTTGCTATAGGAGTATCGGATTTTGCCTCAGTAGTAGACAATATAATCAATTATATTATTTTCTAATGATATAAGCCCTTTTCATATGGAATTCTCGATTAATCCAAGTGATTAGTTGCTGATAAGACAAAATTGAATCACAAATGGAGCTTCATTGGGATCTGAGATGATTTTGAGCTTCACTGGTTTAGTTTTGTGTAAAAATGGTACGTTAAAAAAATCAGTTCAGACATGAAAAAGTTTTTGTAAGGAAAACTTTTTTTCCTTACAAGTGCCCATTTCGCGATGTAAGAACGGATGGTAGTAAACATAATTACCTATCTTGAGGCAAAGTTTCATCCAAATCAAACATGGCCATTTTTTTAAATCGACTTTAAATTTTAAGAATCGATTTGTTTTAGTGTAGGTCTCAAATGAAATTTTTTTCAGTGTTTTTTTCGATAATTTGGTCAATTTCCTAAAAGTCATCCATACAGCATATTTTTGTTGGAGTTGTCATTTTTCCATAATATTTTTTTGAAAAAAATCGGCAGAAAAAGTTTGGCCCTTCTCAAATGTTAGTCTAGATAAATTTTGGAAAAACTGAGTATGCAAAAGTGCTTATTTAGTCAAAGTCTACACATCCAGAAAATTTTATTGAAATCTGAGAGCAGGCTTGCTTCCACTCACTTGCTATAAAAAAATGATTTTCTGAATTTTGAAATCTTTAGATGTTATAATCATATTTTGAACTTGTTAGATACAAGAAAAGGTAGAAAGGAAAGTGTTTGACACATAAAACCTGTCAAATTCGCTTTCAGATAGTCACAATCAGCGATTTTACGACTCGCGAGCGCTCACTCTGAGTGAACGCTCACGAATCATAAAATCGCTTATTGTAACCCTCTGGAAGCGAAATTGACAGGTTTTATGTGTCAGATACTTGCCTTTCAACATCTTCTTGTATCTAATAAGTACAAAATATCATTATAACGTCTAATGGTTTCGAAATCCAGAAAATTATTGTTTTTATAGCAAGTGAGTGGAAGCAACCCTGTCTGAGAGGGTGCTGCCAGCTTCGATTCGATTTGGCGCGAAATGCGTCGTATTTTAAATATGACGTCTTGGGCAAGATTTTGAAAGAAGCTTCTATGAGCTGTCACGTCGGTTCGTCGGTGCTTCTACTGTGCCTGTGATCTGCTGGGCAGCTAGACTGTGGTGAGCAGGAGTTCATCCTAATGACCATCGAAATTGTAAGTATTTTTTTAAAAATATTCATAAAAAATAAAATAATTAAAAAAACTTTCTGGAGACAATTTTTATTTTTATTTGAAAACAATAATATTTACCATAAATAAAATAAAGAATCAAAAAATACATTCTCTCGAATAAACCGTATCTAGGTATGCATTGTAAGTATATTTCGATTTTATACTATGGCACGCATAAACCATGTTTATACTAAGTTTGCATTCTCTCCCTTTATACCGACCTATGCTTCGGTACGAAGAGTTGCGATCTAGCGTAACTTTTAAACTATTTAGATTTCAATATTTTTTGAGTGTAAGGCTAGCAGGTCCCAATGAAACGAGCTCAGTTTTTAGGCTCAGCTCTGGTACTCTCTTCGGTCCCAAGCTAATCAATGCAAACTTTCATAGTTTCATAGTCAAAATAAACAACGTATAGTACTATTACCCCTATTTTTGGCTTCACCTTTGACTCCGCATCTGATTTAACTTGGGACTTCGCTTCAGCCTTGAATTTCAGCTTCGTATCCACCTTTGACTTCGACTTCAACTTCGCCTTGGATTTGGCGTTTAACTTCGCTTTTAACTTTTTCTCCTCTTCAACCTTTGAAGAACACTTCACTACCCGCTTATATGCATGCCTCACGGTTGACAACCAACTCGACTTTACCGCCGGTTTCACCTTTGAGCTTTCGCCAACCCTTGTTTCCTCCTTGTTGACAGCCATGTCCAATCTTGTATTTTTGGCTTGCATCATCGCTACACTAATTGCAGTTCTTCTCTTAAAAGTCCCTTCCTTTGATTTGTACGATTCAGTGATGTCTTCACGCTCATTAACTCCCACCGCTTTGGTGCTGATAATCGTTCTGATTTCCATAGAATCTATCTTAAGCTCCGGTTGACCACTATCAGTATCTTCAAAATACCTCACATTGGGATTAACCTCACCGAATACGGAATCACAATCATATTTCACAGTGATATCTCCACGTTTAACTGCGTTCACAGGTGCCGGCCCAAACGCTTCAACTACCTGCCATCCATCGTACAACTCCTCTTTGCATCTTTCCCCAATATCTGGCCTTTTCATCCACAGTTCATTCCATACGTTGAAATTACACATGCTCTCATCACGTTCCGTCGACCCCGACTTATCTGATTCGTGGCCGGATTTGAAATTGGTTACTATGCGACACGGAATCCCTACAGCTCGTGAGACTACAATAAAATAAACGGTTTAGGTATTTGAAAAAAGTATTTCAATGAAGCATTAAATTACTGGTAGCTAATACTCCGGCAAACACCCAGCATTGTCCAGATTTGACGGGTTTTCTCGACTGGTAAAACTGTTGTAAGATATCAACCGATCCAACCCATGAGTTGGGCGAATGCTCCACAGCCCACAGTCCCGCTCCTTCGTCAAACTTTTCATGCACAACTGCCGAAAGGGCACGAGCCACAAAAATTGGATTACCACGATCCGTTGCACTAACAGGTCCAACCATGGACAACAGCAGGAAACTGCACTCCAGAATATTCTGCGCGAAATGTCCTAACGCCCAGTCTATTGAATTGATGCTGTCAGTCGCACCCTGCCAAATCATTGTCTTGTCGTTGAGGACGTACTCCACGCGGAGTCGTTCGTCTGGAAAAGCATTCAAGTTATTTTTAGAGAAACAAAATGTAATCTTGTAAATCATGAGATTTTGGACATAGTTAGAAGATGGGTGTGCAACAATGCTAATCATAAGTTTAGAATCAGTTAGAAAATTATCCAAAAATGCGAGGAGGCGTCACATCTAAATTTCAATTCTATACTCAAAAAATATTCAAATCTAAATAGATTAAAAGTAACGCTAGATCGAAACTCTTCTGACCGACGCATAGCCTGGTATAAAGAGAAAGTATACACACTTAGTATAAAAATTGTTTATGCGTGCCATAGTTTAAAACGCAAATGTACTTGTATACTTGTGGATTAATATGTTTATTCCGAGAAATACATTTTATGATTCTTTTCCATTCGAACCTCAATATTATGGTTTAAAAAAAAATTAAATCGATATTAATTTATTTACAACAAGTATAATGATGGTCCATTCAAAGTGTTTTTTATGTTACTTCATACGCGAAGTTAACGATTTTCAGAGTTGGTTGGAAATGCTAACATGAAGCTTTAGTGTGATGATTTATTAGCTAGAAAATGATCTTTAGAAGAGGGTAGGTGGATAGTTCCGTTAGAGTACGGCAGTATGAAAATTGAATAGAAGTTGAAAATGAGCGAAGGGCCATTAATGCGTCAGTTTTTTCAAGATAGACGCACATTTTTGCCTAACCCGTACGATGTACGCGGGGACTTGAAGTATGTCTCCAAGTCCACAGGCAAAAATGTGCGTCCCTCTTTTTGCTCATAAACTGACTGCGGCTGTGGAATAGTTCTAGCGACGTTTTCATCACTACCTAAAACCCCACGTTGCGAGAGCATTTCCAGTCGATGGTCGATGGAACAACACAATAGTTGGGTAAAGAAGAACTGCATTATAACACACCATCGACTGGAAATGCTCTGCTAATAAATAAAATTGTTTTTTGTTTGCTCTGTACACATTAAAATGATAAGCAGTGGTAGAAAGAGCACTCATTAGTGATGCATTACCACGTTTAAAAACTTGTTTCCAGCAAAACAAAAATTACACTTTACAATCAAAACAAATCCTTTAAAAAGACTGAGATCTCACATTCACAAATCAATCGACGAAAAATCTTCTTTTTTTTTCTCGCATCTACTTGCATCGCACATAATCTTTTTGCAGAAAATCTTCAGAATTGTCATCAATCTGCTTTCTATCTACTCAGCGTGCGCGCAGCTAGCCACAGCAAAACACTATCCTTCCTGAATATGTAGAGTCGTCCCCCTCGAAAAAACGTTATGTTGCAACTAAAAACTAAACGATGTCACCCATGTCATGAATTTTCCCAACACTGCTTTGCACAAACCTTTGAGAAATACACAATCATTTTCACACCAAGGATTGAACAGCAAATAAAATTCAAACGACTTGTTCACGTTAATTGGTTCCTCCGATCCCGTTAACTTCGTCTCGATAGCCATGTTCCATGTCGACACCGAAGCCCTGGCCGATGCCCTGACCCTGATCGTGAGCACATTTTTCTCCACCGATTCCAGAACGGCCTTCCAATCGGATTTTGCGCCACCATCAGTCAAATTCAGTACGAAGCCATCATCGTTCACAGATAATTTGAACGAAATCACATCCCGGTTCTCGTCGAAAGGTCTATCGCATGACAACTTAAGCTGGAACGGTTGACCTCGCCTGACCACCAACATAGGATTTTCAGCCCTCATCAATTCAAATCGACTCGTCCGATGAGCCTCTCCGTTTGCCTTCAGACAGAGATCCACTTTCTCTATCTTCAATCGCATGTCCTTTTTGTTGGGGGCTAGAAGTAAGGATTTAAAGCATATAATCTATCTGTTAAGAGTTACAAAATATGAATTATAATTTACCTGCCATACTGATTGAATTCAAATAGTTTACGCAGGAGCCAACGGGAGCTATCTTTATCACTGGCTGACTGTGCAAGTCAAACTGTCAAACATCTATTATACACCGGGATAATTTTTGTTTGACCATCGTTTTGGGAATCCCCGAAAAACACGGCGCACATTTGGTTCGACTATTTTTAGGCTGATTCTTGCCAATCAAACTGGTTTTTTTCAACACGCCTCCATCTGTTTTGAGGCAAAATAATAATGATGTAAACGAGCCCAGGCTCGCTATGGCTACATGTGATTTAGTGAAGATAAAGTTGCAAAGAGGATGCACATTAAGGTGATTCCTTGTAGAGTCTACAAATGGCCACCACGTAGGCTATACATTCAGTTTCACTTCGAAATTTCAATTACACAAATCTCGGAAATCAGTGCTTCATTTCACCAGGAATTGCTACTTCAACGTGGAGTGACAGTTTTAATGGTGTACATGTCGTAGAAACTGATACTTGTGCACTTAAAGTTACGAAGTGGTTACGAGAATAACGATCTCACAGCGAAACACCTTAACCACGTCGAAAATCTGAGGCAATTTTAATCGAAAGAAAAATATCCATGAGTAAGGAAAAAGAGACACGCTTCAGCTCTTTTAACACTTTATTGTTTGAAATTCAAAATAAATTACATTTGCTCCAGCTACTGCAGCACTAATTGTTATGATATATATCTAAGCGTTTTTACATTTTGAATTGCCTTGGCAATTCAGTATTTCAACCAGGTTTTCTAAACCAGCATATCAGTATAACAATTTACATTTTAAAACTATAAACTAAAACTAAATCTTATCTTAGTATAAAGGGAATTCAATATTCGATATGTTATGTACCTCGGTAGTACTGTACTAGGGAGGCATCTTCAGAATCAGCGCTTTTTTGAAGCTTGAAGTGCTTTTTTCCTGGTACACTGAAACAAATCGACATGTACCGTTTATTGGATCCATCTTTTAACATAGCAATGTCACCAGATTTATTCATTCTATTTGATGATTGATAGATTCCATCGGATTATCACTCAAAAACTATGCCTGCGATATGGAATGATTTCTATCGTAATTTTTTTTTTGTTTATTAATTTATTTGATAAGGCTCAACCGAATTAACTTTACAGAGCCGAGGATTCTTGGTCACTATACAATACATTTTAAAACTATAGTCAAAAGGTACAACACAATAAACACTTTATCTTCCGCTATCCAAAAAGCCTCCTCCATCAGAACTGGAGCCGCTTCCAGTAGTTTCATTGTATGGCAAATTGTAGTACGCCAACGAGGGTCAGAGCGCGTCCATTGCAGCAATGGACGCTAAACGTGGTCAGCACTCACACACTCATCACGAAACGGTTGCTTTCCAAAGTCGACGACGCATCGACCGAAAGAACTGCTGATGAAGAACAATGAGGAGGACCACACAATGGTTGCTGCCGAGAAAACAGACGATCGCGTAGCACACATCCAGAGTGGCCTGCTTTTGTCGACAGCCGAGTGAACACTGAAACTATCGTAATTTCATATACTTAGTACTTGATAAAACTTTGCTTCGAACGTGTTTAGCGATAGGTAAGATGTATATGAATATTGGGTGAGAACAGACATCTAGAAACTAATGGAAAATCATATGAGTCTGCACTATGAGAAAATTTAGTAAAATATACCTGTTTTCATGATGAGTATTGCTCACTAAACGATGTATCTTATAAGATTATTATTTTTATTTTATTGGAGTTGCTTTTAACGATTTTTGACGTTTGTTGATATGTAGCGTGTAAACAGACATGTAGAAACTATTGGACAGTCATTTAACTGTGCAGTATAGGAAAACATGTATATCTCATTGGAATAGCTTCCTTTGATTTTTGAGGTTTAAAGCTTGTAAACAGATCTATCCCAATCATTATATAGTCATATAGATTTGCCTTTTAAGAAATCCAACAGCAAACATCTGTTTTGGCATGGTTTTCCGGGATGAATATCGCTCCCAATAAAAACATCTTACATGATTGTTCTTTATAAATTATTGAAACAATTTTCAACGATGTTATCGTACACTCATTAAAATGATTAGTCGAACTTGATATTGCTAACACCAAAGAAACTGCATTGAATAATCTTTGTTTATTATTGTTCCATAAGATAAGGGGTTCCGAAAAAGAATGTATTGAGATTGAAAAAAAAACTGATTCTACTGCAATATTTACTTTTCTAAGATTCTAATTGTAAGCCTTCTACACGGCTAATTCAGATTCCAGCACTAGTACTCGAACTTCATGAACCAGTTCCATGAACTCATATAATGTAGTCGTTGTTTTATCGCACACAGGAGCATTAAGAAAGATTTGAACAAACGGCACCACCGAAACGGAGCATAAATTTGCCAGTGTTATTTTTCTTCACTCTAGCAAAACGAGCATAACGTTGCACTACATTCCATGTCGGGAGAGCTGTTCTTACTTCATGCTAATTGAACGAGCTCAATATTGAAGTCAGCATTGGCCCAGTGGAATCGAGCTCAGACACCAAAAGCATCACACCTCAACAGTTCAGGGTCGAATCCCAAAAAAGACACAAGCTTTCAGCTCCCTTTGCCTGATATTTATTTTTCGATTTATTTTTAGAAATCGATTAAATATATGTGTCAAAAAAAAAAGTAAATTTCATGTGATTTTCACATAAACTTTACTTCGATTGATTTATGGCACATATATTATATTGTGGTGAATAGTAAAGCTTATGCTTATAGGTTTCAAATCCATTTCAGATAATTATTATAATTTGACCGATTTTCATTTATCATATGACGATCATATAAAAGTTACCAAATTATATTAATATAGAATTTCAAATAGAATTTACCTGACACATTTCATCATTTTCAATGGATAATCTAATAGCGCAAATTAATTAGACTTCCACATAACAGGAATATGTCATATTGATTCAGTGTAGTGCAACAACTAGACCATGTTGGCACAGCATAAAGCATGGTCGGTCTAAACACTTGTTTAAATATTAGAAGTTTATTCTTCAGACAAAGTTTGATATCCTGTTTATAAGAGAATACAAACATTTTATTTATTTATTACATTTCACAAAAACTACGAATATATTTCGTAACAGAAAACACCGAGCGGATTCGTGGAGTTTCAGTGTACAATCAATATGATTGTCACCGGCTCTACTCCTTTTGGCACAATGTAATTTTGTATAATATATCCTTTGGGCTACAAAATGGTGAGTTGACAACCTGGAAGGAGCGGAATACCTAGCCCTGGTCCTCACAAGTTCCTACTTCACGCCTCCTCGAGTCATATGATAACAAAAGACTACCAGCTGAAACATGGACACAGCTCCCAAGTAGCAATTTTGGTTTTATGAGGGTTTTGGAGACCATGATTTAGACTTGTAGCATACTTTAAAACCTCGATAAAACTTGCAATGTTACTTGGGCTGGGTGGCGTAGCCTGGGCAATGTTGCCAGTCCGGAAATAGCAAAGTGAAGAGGTGCGACGCGAACACTGGGGCGGCTACCATAGTACCAACCGGTGGAAACTAACGATTTAAAATTGGCTCGCTACTTGTCTAGCCTATTGGTCCCAAGCAAATCGATTAATGTACCCCATTCTAGTCGAAATTCTAGTACTACACTATGTTTGTTTTGATTCGCTATGAAAGTTTGACAGATAAAAATGAGGGGACGTGGATTTTCCTATGTTTCGAGGGGTGCATCGATTAGCTTGGGACCGAAAAAAGTACCTCAATTGAGCCAAAATGTTGAGCACGTTTCTTCGGGACCTACTGGTCTTAGAGTTACCTCTATGATAGTATGGTGATAGAGGAAATGCTTCACCAAACCCGAGCGTCTGTTCACCATGGAGGTTGCGGCTCAAAACGGCGTCTATTCTCCATGCTAGGAGCGGCTGATCACCGTCCTAGTGCCAGCGTGGGACTCTAAACAGAGCTGTGCACGACGGTCCCCTGGCAAGACAGGGGGTTGGGGCAGGCCCAACAAGCCGCCCTGAAAAAAAAAACAAAGTTGCAAATACTGAAGATAGAAATACGGATCGGAACAATCGGCACAGACCCACGCGACGAAATAAGGACTACGACTGGAAACTCGGAACATCGAACTGCAAATCGCTCGGCTTCCCGGGCTGCGATAGGTTAATCTATGACGAACTTCAACCACACAACTTCGAATTCGTAGCATTGCAGGAACATTGCTGGACGGGACAAAAGGTATGGAAAAGTGGGCATCCGAGCGGCTACTTTCTACCAGAGCTGTGGCACCACCAACGAGCTGGGAACCGGCTTTGTAGTACTGGGTAAGATTCGCCAACGCGTGATTGGTTGGCAGCCGATCAACGCGATGATGTGCAAGTTGAGGATTAAGGGCCGTTTCTTCAACTACAGCATCATCAACGTGCACTGCCCACACGAAGGGAGACCCGACGACGAGAAAGAAGCGTTCTATGCGCAGCTGGAGCAGGTGTACGACGGCTGTTCGCAACGGTACGTCAAAATCGTCATCGGCGACATGAACGCTCAGGTAGGACGGGAGGCAATGTATAGACCGGCAATCGGGCCAAACAGCCTGCATGCCGTATCGAACGACAACGGCCAACGATGCGTGAACTTTGCAGCCTCCCGGGGTATGGTAGTTCGAAGTACCTTTTTCCCCCGCAAGGATATCCACAAAGCCACCTGGAGATCACCTGACCAACACACAGAAAACCAAATCGATCACGTTCTAATCGACGGGAAATTCTTCTCCGACATTATCAACGTCCGCACGTACCGCAGTGCGAACATAGATTCGGACCACTACCTAGTTGCAGTATGCATGCGCTCAAAACTCTCGACGGTGCATAACACACGTCGAAGTCGAACGCCACGACCCAACATTGAGCAACTACGGGACACCGGAGTTGCCCAGGACTACGCGCAGCAGCTGGAAGTTGCACTACCCACGGAAGAGCAGCTTGGCGCAGCTTCTCTTGAAGATGGCTGGAGGGACATCCGTTCAGCCATAGGTAGTACTGCTGTAGCGGCACTAGGTACTGCAATCCCGGACCGAAGAAATGACTGGTTTGACGGCGAATGCAAACTGTTAGTAGAGGAGAAGAATGCAGCACGGGCGAGAATGCTGCAACACCGCACGAGATTGAATGTCGAGCGATACAGACAAGCGCGGAACAGACAAAACTCGGTTTTCCGAAGGAAGAAGCGTCAGCAGGAAGATCGAGATCGCGAGGCGATGGAAAATCTGTACCGCGTAAACGACACACGGAAGTTCTACGAGAAGCTAAATAGTTCGCGCAAAGGCTACGTGCCGCAAGCCGATATGTGCAAGGACTTGGACGGTAACCTTCTCACGAACGAGTGTGAGGTGATTGAGAGGTGGAAGCAGTACTATGACGAGCACCTCAACGGTGAAGCAGCAGAAAACGAAGGTGGCACGGCAACAGACCTTGGAGCACGCGCAGAAGACGACAGGCTACCGGCCCCTGATCTTCAAGATGTTGAGGAGGAGATCGGTCGGCTGAAGAACAACAAAGCAACTGGTGTAGATCAACTACCAAGTGAGCTATTGAAATACGGTGGTGAAGCACTGGCTAGAGCGCTGCACTGGGTAATTGCCAAGATTTGGGAGGAGGAGATATTACCGGAGGAGTGGATGGAAGGTGTCGTATGCCCAATCTACAAAAAGGGCGACAAGTTGGATTGCTGCAACTACCGCGCGACCACACTGCTGAGCGCCGCCTACAAGGTACTCTCCCAAATTTTATGCCGCCGTCTGTCACCATATGCAAGAGAGTTCGTGGGGCAATACCAGGCGGGATTCATGGGTGCCCGCGCTACCACGGACCAAATTTTCGCGATTCGGCAGGTTCTGCAGAAATGCCGCGAATACAACGTGCCCACACATCATTTGTTCATCGATTTCAAATCCGCATACGACACAATCGATCGAGATCAGCTATGGCAGATTATGCACGAGTACGGATTTCCGGATAAACTGACGCGATTGGTCAAGGCGACGATGGATCGAGTGACGTGCGTTGTTCGAGTATCGGGGACACTCTCGAGTCCCTTTGAATCTCGAAGGGGGTTACGGCAGGGTGATGGACTTTCGTGTCTGCTGTTCAACATCGCGTTAGAAGGTGTGATCAGAAGAGCTGGGATAGACACGAGTGGCACGATATTCAGGAAGTCCATCCAGCTCCTTGGTTTCGCCGATGACATTGACATTATGGCACGGAACTTTGAGATGATGGCGGAAACGTACATCAGACTGAAGGCTGAAGCTAGACGGATTGGACTTGCCATCAACGCATCAAAGACAAAATATATGAAAGCAAGAGGTTCTAGGGAAGACAATGTTAGCCTCCCACCCCGAGTTCAGATTGACGGTGACGAAATCGAGGTGGTCGATGAGTTCGTGTAGTTGGGCTCACTGGTGACCGCCGAAAATGATACCAGCAGAGAAATTCAAAGACGCATTATGGCAGGGAATCGTGCCTACTTTGGACTCCGGAGGACTCTCCGGTCGAATAAAATTCGCCGCCGCACGAAGTTGACTGTCTACAAGACGCTGATTAGACCGGTGGTCCTTTACGGCCACGAGACCTGGACTATGCTCGTGGAGGACCAACGCGCCCTTGGTGTTTTCGAACGGAAGGTGTTGCGTACCATCTACGGTGGAGTGCAGATGGATGACGGAACGTGGAGGAGGCGAATGAACCACGAATTGCACCAGCTGCTGGGAGAACCATCCATCGTCCACATTGCAAAAATTGGGCGACTACGGTGGGCTGGGCACGTCGTAAGAATGCCGCACGACGACCCAGTGAAAATGGTTCTAGAAAGCGACCCAACAGGAACAAGAAGAAGAGGCGCGCAGCGGGCAAGGTGGATCGACCAAGTAGAAGGTGACCTGCGGACCCTTCGCAGACTACGAGGCTGGCGAACTGTGGCCATGGATCGAGTAGAGTGGAGACGACTTCTTCGGACAGCAGAGGACAACAAGGCCTTAGCCTGATTGGTAAGGTAAGTATCCTTTGACATAACGCCGTTAGGTATCAAGGCCATATGGCATAAACATAAAAAATTAAAGCTCATGGAATATTTCTCTTCTTTTTATCATATTCTGTTGAAGAACAACCAGAAGGGTAATATAACTTTTTATCGATATAAGTACCACCTTTATGCAAAACGGACATTATGCCAAACGGCGTAGAGCTCAGATTCTTTAATAAGGTCGTCAAAAGACTTTTCTTACAATTGTGTTATATTCATCTTAGCCAATCTTAGGGAGAAAATACATTATAGCCAATTAATGAAACCAAGAAAATTTCAGGGATGCTACAGAGGGTACGTATTATACATTTCGCGCAGAATTTGCGTTTGGTGCGGATTTCGCGCGTTTTTATTAATTTATGGTATGAATTTTGCGGAAAGCATCCCTCTCTTCATCCATCTCCACTGCTTCAGACTTCTACTCTGTCTCGGCTTCTACCATCTACTCCTCATCCTCCTCCGGCTCCTCTTCCGGCTCCTCCTCCGGCTCCTCCTCCGGCTCCTCCTCCGGCTCCTCCTCCGGCTCCTCCTCCGGCTCCTCCTCCGGCTCCTCCTCCGGCTCCTCCTCCGGCTCCCCCTCCGGCTCCTCCTCCGGCTCCTCCTCCGGCTCCTCCTCCGGCTCCTCCTCCAGCTCCTCTTCCAGCTCCTCTTCTAGCTCCTCTTCCGGCTCATCCTCTGGCTCCTCCTCCAGCTCTTCTTCTTCTTCATGTTCTTTCGGTTCATCTTCTTGTTCCTCCACCACATCCTCGTCTTCAAGGGCCTCCTCCACCTTGTTGGGCGCTAGAAGTAAGGATATAAAGCATATAAACTATCTGTTAAGAGTTACAAAATATGAATTATAATTTACCTGCCATACTGATTGAATTAAAATATTTCACGCAGGAGCCAACGGGAGCTATCTTTATCACTGGCTGACTGTGCAAGTCAAACTGTCAGACATCTATTATACACCGGGATAAATTTTACTTGACCATCGTTTTGGGAATCCCCGAAAAACACTACTATTCGACTTCGACTTCGACTATTTTCAGGCAGATTCTTGCCAATCAAACTGGTTTTTTTTAAACACGGCGTCATCTGTTTGGAGGCAACATAATAATAATGTAAATGAGCCCAGGCTCGCTATGGCTACATATGATTAATAAGGGGTGCCCTCCTGGGTTGTTTAGTGAAGCTAAAGTTTGTATGGCGAATTACAACTCAACTCACTATTCCATTTCCTTTTACGACATTGTAAGATTTTAAGCTCAGTTTTTTCCTCAGTTTGAGAGGGATGGTGAGGGGCAAGACAGATGATTACAGGTGGGCTGGAACTCACGGTCCACTGGTGTTGAGTTATTTGTCGTTAATGTTCATAAAAATTTCATGCCAGAAACAGTTACAACACCATAAAATTTACGGGCGGATTTGGACATATTTTTACCTGTTTCATACGATCGGAAGGTGTATGCTGGTCACAAATGCCTTGCCAAATTGATTTCCTGTGCAAGTGATGTAAATTTTTGCGAATAAACACGAGAAGGATTGATTATAGCAAAACTTGCCATATACAATCATCATAGTTTATTTAAAGCCCTACAGTAAAAGCAACCGGTAGAAATAAACGATTTTAAATTTGCTCACTACTTAACTAGCCCTATTCTGCCGCTCTTCGCATGTCCGTCCCATAGCGAAAATCGGCAAGCCGAGAAAATCGCGTTTTAAGTTTTCTTCGTACCATTGATTCTTATGTGATGGGACAACCAATGTGACTGTCTTTCCAAACTTTTTCAGAACAAAGTTGATGAGTTCATCCAGTATTATGAAAATATGGGTAATTAGCTACCATTTGCATTGAAAAACTCAGTTTTGACAAAAACGACTATGGGACCGACATGCGAAGAGCGGCAGTATTGGTCCCAAGCAAATCGATTAACGTATCTAATTCTAGTATAAATTCCAGTACTACACTATGTTTGTTTTGATTCGCTATGAAAGTTTGACAGATAAAATGAGGGGTTCGTGGATTTTCCTATGTTTCGAGGGGTACATCGATTAGCTTGGGACCGAAGATAGTACCAGAGCTGAGCCAAAAAACCTTCTGGTCTTAGAGTTACCTCTATGGTTTCAAATGCAAAGGTAGCCGAAGAAAAAGACGTTGCGGACAATAGTCACATTCTGCTGAGAAGTTTGGAGTGTTGTAAAAATGTTTTCAAACAGGAGAAATCTGTCGATTGGAATGGATAGAGCAGAAAGCAGCAAGCAAATGTAAACATACAAACACATCATATGTGAGCAAGACGCTTAGAAAATGCTATTAGAAGTGCAGACACTGCTTAGACTGACGATCGATAATACATAAAATTCCCTATATGAAATTTTGCAAATCGAAAATATTTGTTTGATGTCAATTGACTTAAAAATGCGTGAAACGATGAGATCTGTTAACTAAAAAAAAATGTTTTGTCTAAAATCGACTTTAACACTAAGTGAAATTGCGCAAGACGACATTTTTTGTAATGCCGGAATGGCTTAAAAATACATGCAACGTCAAAATCTAGTGTTTATTGTTAAAACAACATTGTAAACGCTTCACTCTCCGCTGTCTAAGTTCCATTAGCCTTAGTATTCCTACTATGATTTTAATCGATGTGTATTGCTAAAACAATATCATAAAATGTTCTCAATGTGCTTATAATAGTCTGAGCAACATTTATTATTGGCTTAATTAAAAGTCTTCGAGTATGATTCTAAAATAAATGAACAATACAATCTTTTCTATCAATATATCTTATTTCAATTTTCGCATACGTTTATATCAATGAATCCCATAAAATCGGTATCAGTTTTATTGATAAAATATTTGTTGATTCTGAATAATACTGTGTTTATGCACTCCAACCTCTTTTTACGACATTTTTTTTGCCATAATGCAGGATGGGTACAGCATTTTTAAATGCACCTTATTTTTTGATGATTTGTTTGTGATTGTTTGAAACAAATCGCATTAACCTTCATTGAAAATCGAGACCACACCGCCTAAAAAGGAAAATAAGGATTTAATAAAAGATGATTCCTCATCCTCGTCTATTTCATCTCCCGTGTCCTCATGTCCATACGTCTCCTCCTCCATCTCAAGAGGTTTTGCTATATCGTCCTCCATCTCCTCATCATTCACCTCCACCTCCACGTCTTCCTCATCCACCTCTCCGTCCTCAAACATCCTCCTTCAACTCGTCATCCTCCTCCAACTCGTCATCCTCCTCCAACTCGTCATCCTCCTGCTCCACCTCGTCCATTTCTGCATTCTCCTCTTCCGAATCTTCATCCACGTTCTCTTCCCCGTCTTCACCATCAACCACTTCAACCGTCTCCTCTACTTTCTCCTCAGTTTCCTCTTTAGCCTCCTCCTCCTCTATATTTTCTTCTTTCTCCGTCTCTATCCCTCTCATCTCCACCTCCTCTTTCTCCTGCACCTTCTCCTTCGCCTCCGACATCCCCATCATCCCCGATTCTGCATCTGAATCCGCCATCGATTTCGCCATAGGTACCGCTTTCAACTCCAACTCCGGATATAACTCCGCCATCGTCTCCATTTCCTCTGCCTCCGTAGTCCTCATGTCCAAATCTAAGTTAAAGTTTATGTTCAAGGTCAAACCCGTCATTAGATTCGATTTCGACGCTGACTCTAAATCTGAATTCGAATTCAGCTTCGAATTTGACTTTGCCTTTGATTTTGACTCCAACTCCGTCCCTATCTTCGGCTTCACCTTCGAACCCGCATCTGATGTAACCTGCGACTTCGCCTTAGCCTTAAATTTCGACTTCGTCTCCGCCTTTGACTCCTAGTCCAACTTCGCCTTAGGTTTGGCGTTTAACTTCGCCTGCAACTCTGACTCCGGCTCAGTATTTAATTTCTTCTTCGCATCCGACTTCAAATCCACCTTTGACTTTGTCTTTGATTCCGCCTTTAACTTCGCCTTCGACTCCGACTCCGCCCCTATTTTTGGCTTCGCCTTTGACACCGCATCTGATTTAAGCAGCCTCTTCGATTTTACCTTGAATTTCGGCTTCGTCTCCACCTCTGACTCCGACTTCAACTTCGCCTTAGATTTGGCGTTTAACTTCGCCTGTAACTCTGACTCCGGCGAAGCATTTAATTTCTTCTTCGCATCCGACTTCAAATCCACCGCTGCCTTCGCTTTCAACTTTTCCTCCTCCTCCACCTTGAACAACGCCTTCAATTCTGACTCCAACTCCACGTTCAATTTCACCTTTGAATTAGCTGATTGAGACTCTGCTTCTGGCTCCGCATTGAACTTCACTACCCGCTTATATGCATGCCTCACGGTTGACAACCAACTCGACTTTGCCGCCGATTTCACCTTTGAGCTTTCGCCAACCCTTGTTTCCTCCTTGTTGACAGCCATGTCCAATCTTGTATTTTTGGCTTGCATCATCGCTACACTAATTGCAGTTCTTCTCTCAAAAGTCCCTTCCTTTGATTTGTACGATTCAGTGATGTCTTCACGCTCATTAACTCCCACCGCTTTGGTGCTGATAAACGTTCTGATTTCCATAGAATCTATCTTAGGCTCCGGTTGACCACTATCAGTATCTTCAAAATACCTCACATTGGGATTAACCTCACCGAATACGGAATCACAATCATATTTCACAGTGATATCTCCACGTTTAACTGCGTTCACAGGTGCCGGCCCAAACGCTTCAACCACCTGCCATCCATCGTACAACTCCTCTTTGCATCTTTCCCCAATGTCTGGCCTATTCATCCACAGTTCATTCCATACGCTGAAATTACACATGCTCTCATCACGTTCCGTCGACCCCGACTTATCTGATTCGTGGCCGGATTTGAAATTGGTTACTATGCGACACGGAATCCCTACAGCTCGTGAGACTACAATAAAATAAACGGTTTAGGTATTTGAAAAAAGTATTTCAATGAAGCATTAAATTACTGGTAGCTAATACTCCGGCAAACACCCAGCATTGTCCAGATTTGACGGGTTTTCTCGACTGGTAAAACTGTTGTAAGATATCAACCGATCCAACCCATGAGTTGGGCGAATGCTCCACAGCCCACAGTCCCGCTCCTTTGTCAAACTTTCCATGCACAACTGCCGAAAGGGCACGAGCCACAAAAATTGGATTACCACGATCCGTTGCACTAACAGGTCCAACCATGGACAACAGCAGGAAACTGCACTCCAGAATATTCTGCGCGAAATGTCCTAACGCCCAGTCTATTGAATTGATGCTGTCAGTCGCACCCTGCCAAATCATTGTCTTGTCGTTGAGGACGTACTCCACGCGGAGTCGTTCGTCTGGAAAAGCATTCAAGTTATTTTTAGAGAAACAAAATGTAATCTTGTAAATCATGAGATTTTGGACATAGTTAGAAGATGGGTGTGCAACAATGCTAATCATAAGTTTAGAATCAGTTAGAAAATTATCCAAAAATGCGAGGAGGCGTCACATCTAAATTTCAATTCTATACTCAAAAAATATTCAAATCTAAATAGATTAAAAGTAACGCTAAATCGAAACTCTTCTGACCGACGCATAGCCTGGTATAAAGAGAAAGTATACACACTTAGTATAAAAATTGTTTATGCGTGCCATAGTTTAAAACGCAAATATATTTGTAATGCATTAATATGTTTTATTCAGAGAAATGCATGTTATGATTCTTTTCCATTCAAACCTCAATATCATGGTTTTAAATTAAAAAAAAAATTCAAATCGATACTAATTTATTTACAACAAGTATAATGATGGTGATTAACAGTACAAAGTCTGTCGTAAAATGTTAAATTAAACTAAACTCACATGCAACTGCACGATTCGCGGGGAAATCGGTAGTTCATTGCATCCAAGTCAGTATCGGTTCTAGGTTCTAGGATGTGTCACGGCCATACTCGAATTATGCTCTCCGTTTTTTTCGTACGAGATAACAGAGCCACAGACAATCAGAAATTACACTCACCATCACATTCTTCGCAAATAAGGTTTTAGTTGGGAATGTCATTGCAGCGCCACCGGAGCGTTAAGTACCCAACTAACATTTTCAGTTTTTTAAGCCAACTTTTCCAGCATTCTGCTGTAAAGTAGCTGAAACAAAGCTGCAGATACAGCTACAAGCAGAAGCTAGCAACATAGTTTTGAAGAGCGTTTACTCAACTTTTTCACAACCATTATTCAATTTGTAAGACGCACAGAATAACATCACCCAATAAACGCTAATGTCACTTCTATGCAAATATTAATCAACTTTCAATTTTTAGCTTCAAAACAAAGCTAATAAAGCGAATATATTATTTATTGGGGCGACCCCGGCGTAGTGGTTAACATCCATACCTCTCACGCCAAAGTCACGAGTTCAAATCTCACCCCCGGACAAGTCACGAATGACCCAAGAGTGTTAAAGTGACTATAATAAAAAAAAAAAAAAAAAAAATATTATTTATTTGATACACACTGACGGAATCCATCTTTGACATAAAATATGAGACCTAAACAGACATATAATATTAAGTGCTCCGAGACTGAAAAGTTCGTTGGTAGACGAAAAGTACGTTTGATTGAGCTTAATTTCCCGTCTGTTATAACTCAAATATATGTCAAAATTGATGCTCGTATACTGCCGTTCTACGCATAAGAGTCCCACGGTGCATAAGGATTGCATAGAACATGGGACAGTTATGCGTATAACGGCAGTATATGTCAGTCTCAGAGCACCTAAATTTACATAAATTTTTCTAAGTGTGTAGCTTCTACACAAGCAACCACTCTTGATGAATAACATAAACATCAAAAGTGCTTTTTCGACAGCTAAACAACCTGTACTCAGCTAATAAACTGTGTTAGCGCTACTTTGGAAGCTATTTTACTATCAACTAGGTTAATTTTTAGACTTCTGCAGTTTTACAGCTTTTACTCTGCTTCTTAACAAAGTTGAATTAACTAGTCGAGAAAACCCAAGTAACCAAAATTTCTGATAAAAGACTATTTGTGGCTTAAGCAGCTTGGTTGGTAGTGCTCTATAGAATTCTAAGCAGCCTCATTTTTAAGTCGTTATAAGAACTTGAAATTTCCGGTATCATAATTGAAGAGCATTCTAAGCAGCTTCTCGTGGAACTTGAACGGAACTTTTAGAAAATAAATTAAAAAAGGTTTTTGTACTCTACACCAAATTCTATGTTTAGTTTGCACTTTTATGAAAGTTATTTCTAAAGGCAGGTGTTAATGTGTATTGATTTATCAGCATTAGTAGTAGAATTTGAGCTGTTTGAAGAATTAAACCCAGTCCTTCTGCATGAGAGCCCCAGCACGAACCGCTGCGTCATCTGAGATATAATAATGCGAGCTGTTGTCCCGCCTACTGTTGGAGTTTTCAGTGCCAGCTGACAGACTTGAATACGAAACACAACACCTTGATGAATTTTAAATTGGTGTTTGCCCGCATGGTATTCCAACACACTTGTGGCGCAGTGGTTAGCAATCATAGAGGACATGCCGAATACACGGATTCGAATCCAGGAAATTACTCTCTTATTTTATTATTTTATGTTTGGATAGAATGTTGATGCACTGCATAAATATAAGAATTATGATTAATTCGGGCCACTGATCATTTCATATTTACGTACATTAAATTTTGTTAGTAATAAAGACTTGTGCGGATTGCTTCATGTGGCTTTAAAGTTCTGTCGGAACTTTATTTGAACTTTATGGAACTTGAAAGTTCTGTCGGAACTTAATTTGAACTTTACGGAACTTGAAAGTTCGATCGGAACTTTATTTGAACTTTACAGAACTTGGAAGTGATTTTAATTGTTGAATACAGAACTTTTGGTAACTTGGGAAGTGATTCATGTGCACTATTATAAAGCCTATCCTCAGTGATTTTGTTGTAGAAGGGCATGTTGATTCGTTTACATCAGTTCAAAGTGTTGGCGTAGCACAGTTGGTAGTGTAAAGGTTTGCCAATGCGGTCGTCTCGAGTTCGATTCCAGGTTTCCGGTGCAGGGTAAATAATTGGGTGATGACTGGTAACTAATTTCGATTAATATGATTCACAGCAAAATAAACTGAATAAATTCCTCCATAAAAAAGCGTAAACCGTATTTAACCCGGCTTCAAGATAAAGCTATGTAATGATTTTTGGATAACCGGGAAGAGGTTGAATTAGCGCCTTTCAAGTTTACACACAACTAAACAGCACGATAACAACTGTATAGAAGCGTAAAAAGATATGCAATAAGAGCTTGTCCCAACCGTCACAACAACCATAATTAGCTGACTAACTTCGACAGATTTGCTTGTATAGAGGTTGAGTAAAGGTTTCCACATATCGTATAACATTTGAATGCAGCTTGAGGCTGTATAAATGAAATGAGTAAAGCATTTACATTGCGAAAATTGTTAGTGGGGTAAGCCACTACATTTCGAACTTATCAGTGATGCCAGTTATTTTTGAGGAAAATTTATTATATGTCAGCTCTTGATAATGATACGGGGACCAAGGCATCCCACTGGAGACATATACAGTAAGGACCCGATTTTGCCAGCCCCTTTTTTGAAAATCTTTTCTAATGTTCTATGAAACCCATGCGCTTTTTCAGTGGTCTTACTCGATCAAAGTATACCTTAAACACCCATCTTGAAGATGCATGAGAATGATTTGGAATTACGATTTTATGAAATTATTTAATGATAAAAGTCTAATGTGATTACTGTACCACATACTAATCTGACGAATACAGAAAAAAAAAGTTGTTGAATATTACACCCAAACAGTCAATTGGTCATTCCGCTTGTTGTGTAATATTACGCTGTACGATATACATAGAATTTGTGTATGTACAAATCATTTTAATGAGTGCAATATTGTATCCACTTTTAGTAACTGGTGTTTAATACATCATAAATAAAATTGTTTTTTGTTTGCTCTGTACACATTAAAATGATAAGCGGTGGTAGAAAAAGCACTCATTACCACGTTTAAAACTTGTTTCCAGCAAAACAAAAATTACACTTTACAATCAAAACAAATCCCTTAAAAAGACTGAGATCTCACACTCGCAAATCAATCAACGAAAAATCTTCTTTTTTTTCTCGCATCTACTTGCATTGCTCATAATCTTTTTGCAGAAAATCTTCAGAATTGTCATCAATCTGCTTTCTATCTACTCAGCGTGCGCGCAGCTAGCCACAGCAAAACACTATCCTTCCTGAATATGTAGAGTCGTCCCCCTCGAAAAAACGTTATGTTGCGACTAAAAACTAAACGATGTCACCCATGTCATGAATTTTCCAAACACTACTTTGCACAAACCTTTGAGAAATACACAATCATTTTCACACCAAGGATTGAACAGCAAATAAAATTCAAACAACTTGTTCACGTTGATTGGTTCCTCCGATCCCGTTAGCTTCGTCTCGATAGCCATGTTCCATGTCGACACCGAAGCCCTGGCCGATGCCCTGACGCTGATCGTGAGCACATTTTTCTCCACCGATTCCAGAACGGCCTTCCAATCGAATTTTGCGCCACCATCAGTCAAATTCAGTACGAAGCCATCATCGTTCACAGATAATTTGAACGAAATCACATCCCGGTTCTCGTCGAAAGGTCTATCGCACGACAACTTAAGCTGGAACGGTTGACCTCGCCTCACCACCAACATAGGATTTTCAGCCCTCATCAATTCAAATCGACTCGTCCGATGAGCCTCTCCGTTTGCCTTCAGACAGAGATCCACTTGCTCTATCTTCAATCGCATGTCCTTTTTGTTGGGGGCTAGAAGTAAGGATTTAAAGCATATAATCTATCTGTTAAGAGTTACAAAATATGAATTATAATTTACCTGCCATACTGATTGAATTCAAATAGTTTACGCAGGAGCCAACGGGAGCTATCTTTATCACTGGCTGACTGTGCAAGTCAAACTGTCAAACATCTATTATACACCGGGATAATTTTTGTTTGACCATCGTTTTGGGAATCCCCGAAAAACACGGCGCACATTTGGTTCGACTATTTTTAGGCTGATTCTTGCCAATCAAACTGGTTTTTTTCAACATGCCTTCATCTGTTGGGAGGCAACATAATAATAATGTAAACAAGCCCAGGCTCACATGTGATTTAGTGAAGGTAAAGTTGCAAGAAGGATGCACATTAAGGTGATTCCTTGTAGAGTCTACAAATGGCCACCACGTAGGCTATACATGCAGTTTCACTTCGAAATTTCAATTACACAAATCTCGGAAATCAGTGCTTCATTTCACCAGGAATTGCTACTTCAACGTGGAGTGACAGTTTTAATGGTGTACATGTCGTAGAAGCTGATACTTGTGCACTTAAAGTTACGAAGTGGTTACGAGAATAACGATCTCACAGCGAAACACCTTAACCACGTCGAAAATCTGATGCAATTTTAATCGAAAGAAAAATATCCATGAGTAAAGAAAAAGAGACACGCTTCAGCTCTTTTAACACTTTATTGTTTGAAATTCAAAATAAATTACATTTGCTCCAGCTACTGCAGCCCTAATTGTTATGATATATATCTAAGCGTTTTTACATTGTTCCTGCCTTTGCAATTCAGTATTTCAACAAGGTTTTCTAAACCAGGATATCAGTATAACAATTTACATTTTAAAACTATAAACTAAAACTAAATCTTATCTTAGTATAAAGGGAATTCAATATTCGATATGTTATGTACCTCGGTAGTACTGTACTAGGGAGGCAACTTCAGAATCAGCGCTTTTTTGAAGCTTGAAGTGCTTTTTTCCTGGTACACTGAAACAAATCGACATGTACCGTTTATTGGATCCATCTTTTAACATAGCAATGTCACCAGATTTATTCATTCTATTTGATGATTGATAGATTCCATCGGATTATCACTCAAAAACTATGCCTGCGATATGGAATGATTTCTATCGTAATTTCATATACTTAGTACTTGATAAAACTTTGCTTCGAACGTGTTTAGCGATAGGTAAGATGTATATGAATATTGGGTGAGAACAGACATCTAGAAACTAATGGAAAATCATATGAGTCTGCACTATGAGAAAATTTAGTAAAATATACCTGTTTTCATGATGAGTATTGCTCACTAAAAGATTTATCTTATAAGATAATTATTTTAATTTTATTGGAGTTGCTTTTAACGATTTTTGACGTTTGTTGATATGTAGCGTGTAAACAGACATGTAGAAACTATTGGACAGTCATTTAACTGTGCAGTATAGGAAAACATGTATATCTCATTGGAATAGCTTCCTTTGATTTTTGAGGTTTAAAGCTTGTAAACAGATCTATCCCAATCATTATATAGTCATATAGATTTGCCTTTTAAGAAATCCAACAGCAAACATCTGTTTTGGCATGGTTTTCCGGGATGAATATCGCTCCCAATAAAAACATCTTACATGATTGTTCTTTATAAATTATTGAAACAATTTTCAACGATGTTATCGTACACTCATTAAAATGATTAGTCGAACTTGATATTGCTAACACCAAAGAAACTGCATTGAATAATCTTTGTTTATTATTGTTCCATAAGATAAGGGGTTCCGAAAAAGAATGTATTGAGATTGAAAAAAAAACTGATTCTACTGCAATATTTACTTTTCTAAGATTCTAATTGTAAGCCTTCTACACGGCTAATTCAGATTCCAGCACTAGTACTCGAACTTCATGAACCAGTTCCATGAACTCATATAATGTAGTCGTTGTTTTATCGCACACAGGAGCATTAAGAAAGATTTGAACAAACGGCACCACCGAAACGGAGCATAAATTTGCCAGTGTTATTTTTCTTCACTCTAGCAAAACGAGCATAACGTTGCACTACATTCCATGTCGGGAGAGCTGTTCTTACTTCATGCTAATTGAACGAGCTCAATATTGAAGTCAGCATTGGCCCAGTGGAATCGAGCTCAGACACCAAAAGCATCACACCTCAACAGTTCAGGGTCGAATCCCAAAAAAGACACAAGCTTTCAGCTCCCTTTGCCTGATATTTATTTTTCGATTTATTTTTAGAAATCGATTAAATATATGTGTCAAAAAAAAAAGTAAATTTCATGTGATTTTCACATAAACTTTACTTCGATTGATTTATGGCACATATATTATATTGTGGTGAATAGTAAAGCTTATGCTTATAGGTTTCAAATCCATTTCAGATAATTATTATAATTTGACCGATTTTCATTTATCATATGACGATCATATAAAAGTTACCAAATTATATTAATATAGAATTTCAAATAGAATTTACCTGACACATTTTCAATCATATCATTTACAATGGATAATCTAATAGCGCAAATTAATTAGACTTCCACATAACAGGAATATGTCATATTGGTTCAGTGTAGTGCAACAACTAGACCATGTTGGCACAGCATAAAGCATGGTCGGTCTAAACACTTGTTTAAATATTAGAAGTTTATTCTTCAGACAAAGTTTGATATCCTGTTTATAAGAGAATACAAACATTTTATTTATTTATTACATTTCACAAAAACTACGAATATATTTCGTAACAGAAAACACCGAGTGGATTCGTGGAGTTTCAGTGTACAATCAATATGATTGTCACCGGCTCTACTCCGTTTGGCACAATGTAATTTTGTATAATATATCATTTGACATAACGCCGTTAGGTATAAAGGCCATATGGCATAAACATAAAAAAATTAAAGCTGATGGAATATTTCTCCTCTTTTTATCATATTCTGTTGAAGTACAACCAGAAGGGTAATATAACTTTTTATTGATATAAGTAGTGGTTTACCACCTTTATGCAAAACGGACATTATGCCAAACGGCGTAGAGCTCAGATTCTTTAATATGGTCGTCAAAAGACTTTTCTTACAATTGTGTTATATTCATCTTAGCCAATCTTAGGGAGAAAATACATTATAGCCAATTAATGAAACCAAGAAAATTTCAGGGATGCTACAGAGGGTGCGTATTATACATTTCGCGCAGAATTTGCGTTTGGTGCGGATTTCGCGCGTTTTTATTAATTTATGGTATGAATTTTACGGAAAGCATCCCTCTCTTCATCCATCTCCACTGCTTCAGACTTCTACTCTGTCTCGGCTTCTACCATCTACTCCTCATCCTCCTCCGGCTCCTCCTTCGGCTCCTCCTTCGGCTCCTCCTCCGGCTCCTCCTTCGGCTCCTCCTCCGGCTCCTCCTTCGGCTCCTCCTCCGGCTCGTCCTCCGGCTCCTCCTCCGGCTCGTCCTCCGGCTCCTCCTCCGGCTCGTCCTCCGGCTCGTCCTCCGGCTCGTCCTCCGGCTCGTCCTCCGGCTCGTCCTCCGGCTCGTCCTCCGGCTCGTCCTCCGGCTCGTCCTCCGGCTCCTCCTCCGGCTCGTCCTCCGGCTCGTCCTCCGGCTCGTCCTCCGGCTCGTCCTCCGGCTCGTCCTCCGGCTCGTCCTCCGGCTCGTCCTCCGGCTCGTCCTCCGGCTCGTCCTCCGGCTCGTCCTCCGGCTCGTCCTCCGGCTCGTCCTCCGGCTCATCCTCCGGCTCGTCCTCCAGCTCCTGCTCCGGCTCGTCCTCCAGCTCCTGCTCCGGCTCGTCCTCCGGCTCATCCTCCGGCTCCTCCTCCGGCTCCTCCTCCGGCTCGTCCTCCGGCTCATCCTCCGGCTCATCCTCCGGCTCGTCCTCCGGCTCGTCCTCCGGCTCGTCCTCCGGCACGTCCTCTGGATCCTCCTCCGGTTCCTCCTCCGGATCCTCTTCTTCTTCTTCATGTTCTTCCGGTTCTTGTTCCTCCACGATATCCTCGTCTTCCAGGGCCTCCTCCACCTCCTCATATGGCTCTTCGAGCTCCTCAGCCTCCTCAGTTTCATCTTCCGTCTCTTCCTCATTCTCGACCGGTGCATCCTTCAACTCCTCCACTTCCACTTCTTCCTTTTCATAGTTTTCCGACTCCTGCACATCCTCCTCTTCCGGGTTCACCTCCGCCTCCTCACATGGCTCCATCGATTCCTCATCTTCCTCCTCTCCATCTTTCGGCTCCTCCTTCGTTTCGTCTTTTTCTTCTTCATGTTCTTCCACTTCTTCTTCTTGCTCATCCTCCACATACTCCTCTTCCGGGTCCGCCTCCGAATCCTCATATGGCTCATTCGGCTTCTCATTCTCCGCCAACTCATCCTCCTCCGGTTCATCTTCCGGCCTCTCCAGTTCTTCCGTCTCCTCCTTCTCCAGTGCATCCTCCAACTCCTCCACTCCAGCTTCTTCCTCTTTATCCTCTTCCGGTTCTTCTTCTTGTTCTTCCTGCACATCCTCCTCTTCCTGCACATCCTCCTCTTCCTGCACATCCTCCTCTTCCGGGTACCCCTCCGCCTGTTCATATGGTTTCTTTGAATCTTCCTCCATCTCCTCCTCCTCCAGTTCATCATCCGTCTCTTCCTCCATCTCATCCTCCTCTTTCTCCTGCACCTGCTCCTTCGCCTCCGACATCCACATCATCCGCGATTCCGCCTTCAACTCCAACTCCGGATTCAAGACCACCTTAGTCACCAAATCCTCCATTTTCGTCTCTAATTCCTCCACCTTCATCTCAAATTCTTTCGCCATCGTCTCCAATTCCTCCACCATCGTCGTCTTCGTGTTCATGTTATAATTTAAGTTTAAGGTCAACTTCCTCTGCAATGTCTTCTTCGCATCCGACTCCAACTCCACCTTTGACTTAGCTTTTGATTCCGACTCCGACTCTGTCTTCAACTCCTCCTTTATCTTCGCATTCGACTCCAACTCCGTCCCTATCTTCGGCTTCACGTTCAACCCCGCATCTGATTCAACCTGCGACTTCGTTTCCGCCTTTGATTCCGGTTCCAACTTCGCCTTGGATTTTGATTTTGACTTCAACTGCAATGTCTTCTTCGCATCCGACTCCAACTCCACCTTTGACTTAGCTTTTGATTCCGACTCCGACTCTGTCTTCAACTCCGCCTTTATCTTCGCCTTCGACTCCAACTCCGTCCCTATCTTCGGCTTCACCTTGAACCCCGCATCTGATTCAACTTGCGACTTCGTTTCCACCTTTGATTCCGGTTCCAACTTCGCCTTGGATTTTGATTTTGACTTCATCTGCAATGTCTTCTTCGCATCCGACTCCAACTCCACCTTTGACTTAGCTTTTGATTCCGACTCCGACTCTGTCTTCAACTCCGCCTTTATCTTCGCCTTCGACTCCAACTCCGTCTCTATCTTCGGCTTCACCTTCAACCCCGCATCTGATTCAACCTGCGACTTCGTTTCCGCCTTTGATTCCGGTTCCAACTTCGCCTTGGATTTTGATTTTGACTTCACCTGCAATGTCTTCTTCGCATCCGACTCCAACTCCACCTTTGACTTAGCTTTTGATTCCGACTCCGACTCTGTCTTCAACTCCGCCTTTATCTTCGCATTCGACTCCAACTCCGTCCCTATCTTCGGTTTCACCTTCAACCCCGCATCTGATTCAACCTGCGACTTCGTTTCCGCCTTTGATTCCGGCTCCAACTTCGCCTTGGATTTTGATTTTGACTTCATCTGCAATGTCTTCTTCGCATCCGACTCCAACTCCACCTTTGACTTAGCTTTTGATTCCGACTCCGACTCTGTCTTCAACTCCACCTTTATCTTCGCATTCGACTCCAACTCCGTCCCTATCTTCGGCTTCACCTTCAACCCCGCATCTGATTCAACCTGCGACTTCGTTTCCGCCTTTGATTCCGGTTCCAACTTCGCCTTGGATTTTGATTTTGACTTCATCTGCAATGTCTTCTTTGCATCCGACTCAAACTCCACCTTTGACTTAGCTTTTGATTCCGACTCCGACTCTGTCTTCAACTCCGCCTTTATCTTCGCATTCGACTCCAACTCCGTCCCTATCATCGGCTTCCCCTTCAACCCCGCATCTGATTCAACCTGCGACTTCGTTTCCGCCTTTGATTCCGGCTCCAACTTCGCCTTGAATTTTGATTTTGACTTCATCTGCAATATCTTCTTCGCATCCGACTCCAACTCCACCTTTGACTTAGCTTTTGATTCCGACTCCGACTCTGTCTTCAACTCCGCCTTTATCTTCGCATTCGACTCCAACTCCGTCCCTATCTTCGGCTTCACCTTCAACCCCGCATCTGATTCAACCTGCGACTTCGTTTCCGCCTTTGATTCCGGTTCCAACTTCGCCTTGGATTTTGATTTTGACTTCATCTGCAATGTCTTCTTCGCATCCGACTTCAAATCCACCTTTGACTTAGCTTTTGATTCCGACTCCGACTCTGTCTTCAACTCCGCCTTTATCTTTGCATTCGACTCCAACTCCGTCCCTATCTTCGGCTTCACCTTCAACCCCGCATCTGATTCAACCTGCGACTTCGTTTCCGCCTTTGATTCCGGTTCCAACTTCGCCTTGGATTTTGATTTTGACTTCATCTGCAATGTCTTCTTCGCATCCGACTTCAAATCCACCTTTAACTTCGCTTTTGACTCCGACTCCGCCCCTATTTTTGGCTTCACCTTTGACTCCGCATCTGATTTAACCTGCGACTTCGCTTTAGCTATGAATTTCGGCTTCGTATCCACCTCTGACTCCGACTCAAACTTCGCTTTGGATTTGGAGTTTAACTTCGGTTGCAGCTCTGACTCTGGCTCAGCATTTAATTTCTCCTTCGCATCAGACTTCAAATCCACCTCTGCCTTCGCTTTCAATTTTTCCTCCTCCTCCACCTTCAACAACGCCTTCAATTCTGACTCCAACTCCACGTTCAACTCCACCTTTGAATTCGCTTTCGATTGAGACTCTGCTTCAGGCTCCGCATTCAACTTCACTGCCTGCTTAATTGTATGTTTCACGGTTGACCACCAACGCGGCTTTGCCGCCGATTTCGCCTTTGAACTTTCACCAACCCTTGTCCCCTCCCTAAGATTACCAAATGGTTTATGGACAGCCATGTCCAATCTTGTATTTTTGGCTTGCATCATCGCTACACTAATTGCAATTCTTCTCTCAAAAGATCCTTGCTTTGATTTGTACGATTCAGTGATGTCTTCACGCTCATTAACTCCCACCGCTTTTGTGCTGATAAACGTTCTGATTTCCATAGAATCTATCTTAGGCTTCGGTTGACCACTATCAGTATCTTCAAAATACCTCACATTGGGATTAACCTCACCGAATACGGAATCACAATCATATTTCACAGTGATATCTCCACGTTTAACTGCGTTCACAGGTGCCGGCCCAAACGCTTCAACCACCTGCCATCCATCGTACAACTCTTTGCATCTTTCCCCAATGTCTGGCCTATTCATCCACAGTTCATTCCATACATGGATTTTGCGCCACCATCAGTCAAATTCAGTACGAAGCCATCATCGTTCACAGATAATTTGAACGAAATCACATCCCGGTTCTCGTCGAAAGGTCTATCGCATGACAACTTAAGCTGGAACGGTTGACCTCGCCTGACCACCAACATAGGATTTTCAGCCCTCATCAATTCAAATCGACTCGTCCGATGAGCCTCTCCGTTTGCCTTCAGACAGAGATCCACTTTCTCTATCTTCAATCGCATGTCCTTTTTGTTGGGCGCTAGAATTAAGGATATAAAGCATATAATCTATCTGTTTAGAGTTACAATAATTATGAATTGTAATTTACCTGCCATACTGATCAACACGCAAATCGAATTAAAGGGAATCAACGAGACTGGTACCTCTATCACTGGCTGTCTTTGCTGGTCGAACAGAGCATGCCTATTATACATCAGGATGCTAAATATTTTGTTTTCATCGGTAATCCCCCGAAAAACACTGTGCGCCGCCTATGGTTCGGCTATTTTTTGGCAGATTTATTTTCCCACCAAACTGGTTTTCTAAACACGCCGCCATCTTTTCTTATTCAACAATAAAACTTGATATCATAACAATTTAGGTGGGCCCAGAGCATGGGACGGCATCTATGCTCGCTGTGGCTACTTGTACTAGTAGAATATTTGGTCACGGTCAATTTAGTTGCGAATTACAACTCAACTTCCTGTTCCCCACTGCTTGTAAGGCACTGTAAGATTTTAAAGTAATCCTCTCCTCCCCCTCCCCAGTCTTATAGCGAATTCGTTTATTATCGGGGTTAACACCAGTTCCAACCCAGTGCGAAACCGAACTTTTTGTCAGTGTGAACCTCAACCTGAGCTAGGTTTTAAAAACAAACGAGCAAACTGACGTTTGACAGAAAACAAGCAGACCCAATCTTGATACCCGATCCAGGTTGGAACTGAATAATAAACGAATTAGCTATTAGTAAGATTTCAGCGCGGACTATTGAGTTGGGAATATTGCTATATAAATGCATTGGCATTGTCACAGCGAACGTATTGAAATTAGATGTCGTAACATGTCTGCATGATTTACATTTGTTGCGTAACTGCATTCGTATCTTGGTGCGTTCTAGGGTATTGCGATTGCGCTGTTGAAATAATGTTTTGCTGTGTAGAAAAAAAAAGTCTCCATGAATGCTGAGTAGAAAAGGGTAGACACACTTGATCTCCTGATTTTATTTTCTGTATCAACCGTTGAGAGTTAAAGTTCTACATAAGCCATTTTTTTTAGCAGCCCTGGGTTCAATCCCAGTCGGCGCCGTCGGGATGTTCTGAGGTATAACATCTCTCTTTTTTCGGAAGGGAAGTAAAGCCGTTGGTCTCCGGTTAATGAGTTGATGGGTCGATATGTAGGGTCCAGGTCGAGGCATTGGTGCTCAGCACGGAAAACAAATCAAGGGAAAAAATACGCCATTTATGTCATTTTGTAGCAGTTCCAGACAAAAAGCGAAAAATATTGAATTTTTGTATCGACCATCTCCGTCCGATTTGTATGGAACTCTGGGTAATTGTTTATTATGGGCCATGATTCATGATTTTTGCTAAAAATCGGTAATTTTGGATCTTGTAAAATTTATGGTTTATGGGGATGTTCAAATAATTTTGAATTATAAAATTACCTTAAAAACTGAGTGTACTAGTCGATTTATTGAACCATGCTGCACACTTTGAAATGATTACCGACTTCGGCAATTTTTCAAACCTCAGTATAAAATTACCGCAGTCGGTAATAATTTCTAAGTGTGTGTATCTCTGGATTTTCAATTCAAACTACCAGTAGACAGTAACCATCGTAGCTAAAACATAATTGTGCAACTGGGAGACTCACAGATTTTAGATTTTGCGACCTATGTTCTTGCTGGTATGACTCTGAGACCACACTGACTAGTCAAAGAGTTGATTTCAATCTGTTCCAATTTTCAGTAGACCATTTGTCTACTTACCGTGAAAATTTCAGCCAACTTCATGATGAAACAAAAAGTGTGTGTGTGTGTGTCATCCTCTACCCCTCACCCAGCCGGGGGCGTTGGACAAGTAGAACTGCGAATAATTTGATCAAATCTCATGCTCCGTAATGGTGCCCTTTATGTTGTGAAGACTAGTACTTCAAAAAGGGTAACTTTTGAGGCAAGACAGGGTGTCCTCAACAAGTTAAGGGAACAGGATGCACTAGATGTCCACAACAGGTACAGCACAACATCATATAGACGCCCTTATTCACACTAACTACTCAGGGGATAGAAGGTCAAGAAGAGCCACCGCCGCCAACTAAAGCTTGAACCGGGTACCTGGGACTCCCACGATATATCCGCGGCAATGGTCAGCAGACGATGCCCTGTGCGTATTTAGTATGCGTCATCTAAACCATAATTTGCATCACCACAAATACACTTGTCAACCATCTTCAACTGGAACGTACTCACCAAATCACTTCACCCGGGAGCGCATTCCCGATGCTCCCACGCGTATTTTTCTCTCCACTCCAACCACACGACAACCAAATATCACTTTTCTTCACTTTTCTTTTTCAAGACACTCCGTGCACAAAAGCAATGCACATCGCAAAACCCTAACAATAGATCAGCGCCGTGCTCAACACCGCGTAAATAAACAGAAATTAAAATTTTCACTCGCGATGCCACACATTTTTGGTCCGGGAGAAACAATCAAACCACGCAGCGCCAAATCTTCTGATGCTTGCAATTTTGCAAACATGATGAATCATGTTTTCTTTCTTGATTCTAAAACTTCTCGAAAAGCGAGAAAACCACCACTCACACACGTATAACCGTCCGGGAGGCAGAGTGCCAGCGCTAATCCGTCAAATGCAGCCGAAAACTATGAAAGAGAATGCACGCATAAAACAGAGAGCAAATTTAGACACAACCGTATCCAAAGGCGTTCGAAACTCGACCACTTCATGATGAAACAAAAAGTAAGGTTGAAATTCGGAAGCAATTTGAGAGTTCTGTTTTTGAGGTGCTCTGTCGATAACCATGTAGTACAATCCAATCCTGGACGATATGCCTTGGGTTTAAGCTAAGTCAACTCTTTTATCAGTCATTTGTGGTCCTGAAAAGGACCGATAGGTTGGAAGCTTGGAAGCTAGTTAAGAACAATACTGTGGAAATTTTTCCTCGATGTTCTTGGAGATGATACTTACCTTACCAATCAGGCTAAGGCCTTGTTGTCCTCTGCTGTCCGAAGAAGTCGTCTCCACTCTACTCGATCCATGGCCACACTTCGCCAGTCTCGTAGTCTGCGAAGGGTCCGCAGGTCGCCTTCTACTTGGTCGATCCACCTTGCCCACTGCGTGCCTCTTCTTCTTGTTCCTGTTGGTTCGCTTTCTAGAACCATTTTCACTGGGTCGTCGTGCGGCATTCTTACGACGTGCCCAGCTCACCGTAGTCGCCAATTTTTTGCAATGTGGACGATGGATAGTTCTCCCAGCAGCTGTTGCAATTCGTGGTTCATTCGCCTCCTCCACGTTCAGTCATCCATCTGCACTCCACCGTAGATGGTACGCAACACCTTCCGGTCGAAAACGCCTCCACGAGCATAGTCCAGGTCTCGTGGGCGTAGAGGACCACCGGTCTAATCAGCGACTTGTAGATAGTCAACTTCGTGCGGCAGCGAATTTTATTCGACCGGAGCGTCCTCCGGAGTCCACGATTCTCTGCTGGTATCATTTTCGGCGGTCACCAGTAAGCCCAAATACACGAACTCATCGACCACCTCGATTTCGTCACCGTCAATCTGAACTCGGGGTGGAAGGCTAACATTGTCTTCCCTAGAACCTCTTCCTTTCATGTATTTTGTCTTTGATGCGTTGATGGCAAGTCCAATCCACCTAGCTTCAGCCTTCAGTCTGATGTACGTTTCCGCCATCGTCTCAAAGTTCCGTGCCATGATGTCGCTGTCATCGGCGAAGCCAAGAAGCTGGATGGACTTCCTGAATATAGTGCCACTCGTGTCTATCCCAGCTCTTCTGATCACACCTTCTAACGCGATGTTGAATAGCAGACACGAAAGTCCATCACCTTACCGTAACCCCCTTCGAGATTCAAAGGGACTCGAGAGTGTAATCGATTCTCGAACAACGCACATCACTCGATCCATCGCGTCAGTTTATCCGGAAATCCGTACTGGTGCATAATCGGCCATAGCTGATCTCGATCGATTGTGTCGTATGCGGATTTGAAATCGATGAACAAATGATGTGTGGACACGTTGTATTCGCGGCATTTCTACAGAACCTGCCGAATCGCGAAAATTTGGTCCGCGGCAGCGCGGGCACCATTGAATCCCGCCTGGTATTGCCCCACGAAATCTCTTGCAAATGGTGACAGGTGGCGGCATAGAATTTGGGAGAGTACCTTGTAGGCGGCGCTCAGCAGTGTGATCGCGCGGTAGTTGCAGCAATTCAACGTGTCGTCCTTTTTGTAGATTGGACATACGACAGCTTCCATCCACTCCTCCGGTAGTAACTCCTCCTCCCAAATCTTGGCAATTACCCAGTGCAGCGCTCTAGCCAGTGCTTCACCACCGTATTTTAATAGCTCACTTGGTAGTTGA